CTGGCTGCTGCCACCCACGGTTTCACATGGGTTGTGGGGGTTGCCACCACCTCCTCCCCCAACCTGGTCGGAGCCAGCTTGCCTCGCTCTGGCCTTCTGCAGCATTACTGGGGGCAGCAGCACAGCACAGCCGGCAGCCAGGCCGGAGCAGGCTCCCCCACCACCTATGCAGAGAGCAGCACAGATGGGAGAACAAGTGAGTACATAGGGCCAGTCCCCACCTGGGAACAGCAGGGGAAGGTGCAGGGAGATGCTGCTGCTGAGCAAGGAAGGGGCAAGGGGGTGCCCAGCTCCACTTTGCAGCAAGATCTGCTGGGGATGGGAAGGCATGGGAGATCTGCCCCACATGTGCAATATGTTATTCCTTAACCATTTAACCAGTATCATTAGAGGAGTTTAAAAAGGTAATTATTTAAACAATATTTACACCCCTAGTTAAAACACTAGATTTTTTAGTGCTTGTGTATATTTCTGAACCCACAAGGGTTGTCCAAAAGGACTATTTTAGAAGCAAAGATCATTAAAATGGGACATATGAGACCAGGAAGAGCATACACCAACTGCTGCAGCTTCCTGAGCCTGACGAAGGGTTTTTGAACCCGAAAGCTTGCTTAATAACTATTCTCCAACCATTTGGGTTGGTCTAATAAAAGATATCAAATTCACCCAAGGAACCTTGTCTACATATGAGACCAAGCACCTGATCCAAATCTCAAATTTGCCATCAACCATGGATCCAGCCTATATTCCTGTAAATCAAAGTAAGGAATGCCTCCGGTGGTAGAAAGTGTTCTAAACAACTTTTTGCCATGAGAACTCTCTTACATTTCATCTGGACAGCCACTAAGTGGCACTTAAGCACTTCCTCTTAAGACGTTAAAACCTACAAGCCGTTGTGAAAGAGGAGAGGAGAAAAAAAAAACCAAATCCAAAATATGAAGAGCTTTCCAATCTGGTATGTAATATCTGAAGTTTATATTCTGCTTTTATAGAATTCTCAAAAGCCTTGACTACATGAGAAAATGCTGCTGGGTGAGATATTGTACTGTGTTTCACGAAATTAAAAAGACAACTCTCCCACCCTCCCCTCACCCCCTAATTTCCCACCCTTCTTTGAAAATCTGAGGGCCTCATTTCAGTAAAACTTCACCCACAGTCATGACCTGTTGAGGCATGCACTAAAGCAAAAACACCCAACTGTCTCATAAGAAACTGAGTTGAAGCTATTTTTGTGAAGGGCAAACTAAAGAGGCCCTGACTTCTTGACACAACATTTAGAAATGCCTCAGAGTTAGATTTCAATTACAGAAGCCTGTAGAGACTGATCTTGTTTGTACTGGCAGACGCACGCTAGAATAATTTTTAGCCATCAGCAAAGAAATAAAAATGATGAATGAAGTTAAGCTCTTCTTTAGAGTCCAGTATTTTATGGCTTCTGAGACAGATGCTATGCTTCCATTTGCATTTTAAATTAAAGGCATAAACCTGGACTGTTTTGTAGCTGCAAAACCAAACCATGTTAACTAACATAAAATTCTCCTAAATGTTTTTATTGCATTATAACTAATTTTTCATAACATCTTAACAACAATTCTGCTTCTTTGTTTAAAAAAAGGTACTGTTTCATGAAAAATATTTTAAAAAATCAAATATATAAATTGGATATACTTCTCTGTGACACAATCCATATGAAAGCGTCTTGAACTGCTTAACTATCAACGGAAAAACAAGTTATAAAACAAATAAACTACCTAAGTGTAATGGTAAGCTTGAGGCAGACAAGGTTCTTTGAGTAAATCCAATATCTTTTATTAAGCCAACTCAAATAGTTAGAAAAATTCTTCTTAGTAAGCTTTTGGGTACAAACACCCTTCATTAGGCTGAGGAAGCATCTTTAGACCCCCAACTGTGCTAACATTTCTACATACACTGATTTTACATTAAAGGAGTCCTCTTGACTTTAACAGACCTATTCATGTGCATAGAATTAAATATGCATATAAATATTTGCAGGATCAAACCACTGAAGTTCATATTTTTATGACAGTCTATAAACAAATGAACATCTCCAAATAAACATCTCCAATTAATCCCAGGTTTAAGTGCAGGACTTACTAAAGACAAATTTCCTCCTTGCATGTTAATTTCTGTGCTGAAGTATGTGAACAGTGCCACAGAAACAAAGTTTGGTGCCTGGGGCAAAGCCCACAGAGGCAGCCCACCCTTGCCCCATGCATAGATCCAGGGAGTACATGCCTGCTTGCTCAAGAGTGCATATAGTGGTGGGAGCCACCCTTCCCCCGTCCCCGCACCCCCCCAAATGAGCCACTCACGGTTCCATCCTGTGTCCTGCCCTGGCTAGGCAGCGCCTGTTGGCACTCCTTCGCTTCAGCACCCAGGGCGGTCACCCCACTTGCCCCCTCCCCTCCTTGCTATGGCACTGTATGTGAAAGTACATTACAGGCGGGTCTTTCATTATGTGACCACACAGCCAACATTAGATAGCATACTCTACAAGGTGACCCAACACATTTTACTGTACAGTATTGCTGACAGGAAGGAAAGTGGGTGTAGTGGTTAGTGCCAGGGAGAAGAGGCAGGACCACACACCTCACCTTTGTGCCAATGACAATAACGTCTAAGTAGGCATTATGACCCTGATGCAATTGGAACCATGTTAATGGACCCTGAAGCCAGGTGTGTGTAGATACAATTGCATGTTTAGACCTATCTTTATCCAGACACACAGGTCATTTTAAGAAGTATTTCTCCAAGTCTTGTCTGCAGCATGACATCAATGGAGAGTGCAGAAAAGTAGAAGCACAGAAACCCCCCCAAAACCAAAACAAAAAAAACATAGCATACCTTCACGGGGCAACAGAAAGCATTATTTTTATGATGTGGTTTATTATACTTACTCACTTTGACATAAAGCAGGATGGGAGGTCATGCTGCTGAAATAGTTTCTCAAATTATAAAATGCCTTCTCAGCTTTGCTCTTGCATTTAACTCATTAGTCAGACACAGCCCAGATCCAATGACCTTGGCACAGTGAAGGGTCATTCCCTCAGGCTTTTGCGTGAACAGGCCCCACTGTAAGGAGCACATAAAGCAATCTGAAAAAGGTGGTCCATTTGACTTGCTAGTATTAATTAGTTGCCTTGTTTTACAGTGTGCTTAGAGCTCATCCTATGAAGCCATTTGTTAAAATAAAAAATTAATGAAATTGGCTACAAGTTTTATTCTGCCTATGTCCTCTATGATTCTGAACATTAACTAACTCCATATGTTTGTTAAACTTATTTCTGAGCAAGTTAAAAACCCAGCTTTAGAAATAAATTGGTGAAGCATCACAAACAAAAATTAATGGATTTTATTTTTACATCGTCATGATGGATCAGGCAAAATGAATTGTTCTAGACCCTGGTCCTGCAGTCTGGTATATACAGCAAGACATCTACATATTGGGAGAAATTTCCCTGAACAGCTCTCTGAAGGATGGCACTCTTGCTTCATCATCATCTGCTTTTGGCCAATATATCTTTTAAACTATTAATTTAAAAATATTGTTGTTTTAAAATAAACATGTTTTCTCTTAACTAGATTAGACTATTTTTAGAGTTTTGTGACGTGACAGTTGATACCTGAATTAGTCAAGACTGAATATTCTTATAGAAACCTGTTTTGACTAGCCATATGTCTTTTCTCCTCTAAAAACTGATTTCAGAGACTTAAAACACTATACTGAAGATCATCGTAAAAGGTATATCAAAAGAATTATAACCTCTTGTGCTTTAATCTCACAAGTTTATTACAAACATGCTAAAAAAATTAGTATCCGATTAATTTAATTAGATTTTCTGAATTCTTAGTGCTTATAATTGAGTCTAGGCATGCATTTGTTCTTCTAAATGTGTTTCAGTCTTAAAATTAATTTTAGTAAGCCACAGAAAAGGGTAACTACAGGAAATGCAAGAGACTTCCTTTATTAAAGTAGTCCTCTTCACAGAATCATACGTTCAGCTCAAATGCTTGTGTACATGGTGAGAGGACAAGTTGCTGAAAAGAATCGGTCAGTATCACTTGCAAGGTTAATTCTGTGGTTTTTGCCTGTTTCGTTATTACATGCGTTACTACAGCAGCCAGAAAGCTCACTCTGTTAGGGCACTGTGTCCTGCCAGGTGATGTACAAACATGCAGGTGGACACAATCTCTCATTGAAAGACCTTACGGTGTTTTTTAACTAGAGATGCAACAGAGGGAACATAAGGGTCCTTTGGGATCTCCAAAATTTAAAATTTATTTTCCAAATTAAGTTACCCTTAAGCTAGGGATGTCAAACTCGCTTCATGCTCCAGACTGCATGACAGCCCAAGGCAGGACTAGCCCCAGCCCTGTCACAAGGCAGGGCAGCAGTGGGGCCAGCAGCGGCAAAGGCAGGGCAAGCAGCAACTTGCCATAGTACTGGCAACCAACCAAGTGGCTGCAGGCTGTGTTAGCCTTTGCTCACCCACCTGCCACCAACTGCCCTGTCTGTTGGAGTCTAAGGATTCTGTGGCAGGCCATGCCCCCCAACCACATCCCTCAACCTCCAGCTGCCAGCTGATAGCCCAACAGTCCAGATGGTGAAGCTCTGTGGGCTGAATCTGGCCCGCAAGCTATGTCTTCCACGCTGCCTTAGAAAACCGCAAGTCCACCAAAACTTTCTTGCAAGGTAATAGAGTTTTGACCCATTGTCATCCACTTGTAATTTTTCTTGGTGAAGTAACAAATAAGCAAAGCAAGGAAAGAGGTTCCTTTGGACAAGGCAATAAAAGCAATCAAGTACTAAAACGTTAGTGCTGGAGTGAACTTAAAAAAATCACACCAAAAAACCCCAAAAAACAAACAAAAAGCAGAAGCCTATTTTATTGCAGTGTATTGTCTACACATGTGCGGCAATTAGGCTGGTGTAGACTAATTTACTGTACGATTGGATAGTCCTGTCAGGCACAAGTACTGATGGTCAAGTAAACTGACCATCTGATGGTCAAGTAAATTACTGCACTTAAATGCATGTGTAGATGGCGACATCCAGATTAGTTTACTCCGGGTCAAACTGCGCTGGAGTTTATTCAGTCACCTTAATGTAATGTACATGTAGACATGCCCAGTATATCCTCTAGAGGTCAGTCCACCAGCAGCTCTGTAACATAC